CAAGGAGTGACAGAAAAACATATCTTCTAGTTCCAAAAAAAAAAACTAGGGAGGAAAAACTGAACAAGCAGGAGAAAAAGGGGGAAGATGGCATAAAAAGGGCAGAAGGAGGAAATAAATCATCACAAGGGCAGGCTGCTTTCATGTCCCTGACAATGGTCTGTGGTTTGCTGACCGCCCTGGGCTACCTGTGTGTAGTCTGGCTGACCTCACCTGGGGAGATATGCAAGAGAAGCCTCAAACTCAGCCACCACTCTGATAGGAATGGAAACTCATAAATTAAATGCCACACATCGAGGTGTTGGGCATTGGATTCCTAGCACAGAGGTGCTGGCAGGGCAAGGAAAAGGCAGAAGGGGACAAAAGCAAAGGAAATATGCATCTTGGGGAACTAGTGATTTTTTGTGTGTGTTTGTGTGGTCCTCCCCCTGAATCTTCCATTTACTTTAAAATCAAAAGTGAAGGCAGCGCCCCAAGAATGAGGTAACACTGCTTCTCTAATTTTCCTAACCCTCAAGGTTTATTTTTGTTGCTGTTGGGGTGGAGTGTGGATTTGAGGTTTGTGGGGGAGGGGCATTGTTGTGTTTTGTTTTCAAGGGAGTGATGCATGATAAGAACTTTCTGGATTTATTGACCTTGAAGGAAAGAGCACCGCTGTCTTAAAGCCTTGTGCCAGATTGGGCTGCCAGCACTAATGGAGGTACTGTGGGCAACAGAGTAACCCTGAGCCCCACAGGTGCAGTGGGGAGAGGTGCAGGGGACAGGAAGCCCCAGAACGCAGCACCTTCTAAGGCATCAGAATGGTATCTCCCATTTCTCTTGCAGACAGGCCAGTGGGACATGTGGTTAGAAACAAGGATGAATGGCAAAGAGAAAGTCCTCATGCCCTGGCTAAGGGCGGCTGCCAAGGGGTGCATGTGCCAGCAGCCTCTCACAGAGGCAGGCTGTGGTTATAAGGGACCCTGATCAGAAACATTCTGTCTTGCTCTGCTTTGCTAACTGCTTTTCCTCCTAACTCCCAAACTATGTGTTTCCTGAGGTCAAGAGTCATCCGATTAATGCTCCCGCTTTCTGGAGCTGCATAGATAGATTAGCCCAGGTTGCCTGACTCCCTTCAGGGTTAGTGTGAGCTCAGCAGAGACCTGGGTGTAGCTGAGAGCCATGACAGCAAGAAACCAAAATTGAAAGACTGCATGTCCCTGGCAGGCAGGAAATGTGAGCTTATCTTTTATTCCTCATGCGGCCTGGGGCAGGACCCACACAGGATGTGACCAACATAGATCTGTGCCTTAGAAAGCCGGAACAGAGTGGCACTGCTTCCTGGAAGCCTCTCCTGGGCCGGGAAAATCCCCAAATGGTCAGCTATACCCTATTCTCCTCCCCCTCCAAAAGAACTAGCTGATCCACCTTGCCCTGACGATAAATTCTGAGCTGACTTCCTAAGATTGTCTCAGATCACAAAGAGAGAAATAGGCTGTAGGCTCTGTAAAGAAGCATCACTGCATAATCTTTCCACAGAAATGAGCAGAAAACAGAGGTAGAGGCATCCTTTTTTGGAAATAGGTCAATCAAAGGAAATGGCTTCGAAAATCACCTTCCATTTGCCTTCAGGGTCCATTAAACTTGAAAGAAATTCCCAAAGCAAGAGGTGAGATATCTGTCCTTGTCGGTGTCTACAAACAGCCTAAATGCTCAGCACTCTGGAATGATTCAAGGCGTGATGGGCCCTGGCAGAGGGCAGAGGAGGAACAAGGCCACTCCCAATATTTCATCCATCCCCATGATTTCACATGTAACCTCTGATGTTATTGTTCAAGCCAAACTCATAAGAATGTATTGAAAACAATGTTCTAGTTTACACTCTTTCCAGGAATGTTTAAAAGGAGACATGTTTGCAGATCAGCCAACCTCATGGCCTATGGGGTTCATGACTAAAAGCTGCCCTTTCCAGCCCTGGAATTCTTTCTATTTCTGTGCTTCACAACTTCAACTGGTCCTTTTTGTTTTGTCTCCAAGCTCTGAATACAGGCCAGTGTGCCTATTAATCTTGAATGGAATCTTGAAGTCTCCACCACTTCCATTTGAAAAAGAAATAGCTTTGCCTTTTCCATTTGATTCGACAGTATAAAATATTTATGATTCCTCTGGCACCTTCAAGCCCCCTCTCTCCCATCGATTCTCTCAGTCAGCACTAAGTGCTCACTCTGAGGAAAGTACTTCCCGTCCATCAGGGACAAGCCCAGGATGACAACATCCAGAGTGTCCAGCTGCTCTACGTCCACTGGGTCACCAGCCAAGCTACCACTGCTCATACAGGGGGTTCTTGTGGGTTTCTAAGTCCCCGCAGCTGCTCTGCTGAAGATGTTTGCTGCCTTGGACCCTGAGGTCTTGCTTTTCCATTGTATTTTCTTCCACAGGGTGTTCATGCTACAATCAAACACAAATGACAGCTTTGGGTCTTCTGGGACTTTAGGGGCTAAATCACGATGATTGAGAGTGAGGCTGGTCTGGGAGGTTCAGTGTAAATTCCCAGAGTGCTGTCATTTCTACACAGTGTGATTGACCCACATGAATGGTTCAATTTTCCAGAGTGGAAGGCACCCACATTGCTCTTCCTAAAGCTGCCTAGAGGTTGTTATCTTGTCCTGCTCACTCCTTGCTGGTCCTATTCAGAACTCTGACCTAAGTGTCAGAAATTCTCTCAAACTTGCCTTTCTGTTTTAGGGGCAGAAAATAGTGCTAGAAATGTTGTGAGATAGCAGTCTCAACTGACTAAAGGGAAGATACAGAGCTCTATATCTCTAAACCCTTCCAAGGTTATTAAGAAGTTTAGATCATATAAAGACCTTAAAACAGTGCCTGGCATTTGGTGAGTGCTTATTATTGTTGGTGCGATTATCATTTGATTTTTGTTTTGATTGGGGGTTTTTTGTTTGTTTTTTTGATAAAGCAATATCAGTTCTAGGTACCAAGGACGAGACAATGGCTCTAGGAAATGGCAGGGAAATGTAGTGGACAGAAAGCCAAGGAACAAGGTGAACTTAGTACAGAGCAACACGGCCTCAACTTGAAATCCCTTCTATACGTCTTGCCCTTATAACCCAAAGTCAGTAGAAAGAGCATATGAAGGATGTTGAGCTGCAGGTTGACTAGGCTGACCCCACACTCCTATCCCCTAGTATAATTCTCCATGCATAGTTGGTAGGCAATAAATCCTTAATGTATAGACTTATGCTTAGTATCTCCCTATATCTTATATTTGCATTTTCTCAGTGTCCTGAGGGTTCTTTCTAAGAAGGAGATATTTTTATGCCCCTACTCCAGATTCCACCACTAAAATGTATTGTAAATGTAATAATTAAAAATATATAGAAGTCTCAAATTCCCAGGATCTATCATTTTACCAATGGTATAACCACACAGTGTTTAAAAACAAGAGTTCTGAAGTAAGACAGACTTAAGTTCAAAAATTGGCTCTGATTCTTCCTTGCTGTGGGCAACCTATTTAAGTTCTAGAGGCCTCAGTTTCCTTATTAATGATATGGGGATAATAACAGTGACTGACTCATTGTCCCTTGTTAAGTAGAGACTTCATAAGATGTTACAAGAAAAAAATATCAGCAAAGTGGGTGGCACACGCTGATTGCAAAAAAAAAAAAAAACACACACATATTGATTATTATGGTCATTAGTATTTTTGAGTCAATGCACTGAACCAGAAAACATTTAAGTTTTACTTAACTTTCTAGAGTCAATGCTACAAGCTATCAAAATAGCAATTGATGGCTTTGTTCAGGATGGAAGGAGAAGTATGTTTGAACAAGTGATTCTGTGGGCACCCCTCTGGTGTCAGCAATGGATTGCTACCTCCTCTAGCCTGACCAAGAAAAGCAAAGGAAAGAAAACCCTGCTACTGGGCTGGAAGGTAGACTGAGCTTATTCAGCCTTTTTCTGTGCCAAGGGAGGAAGGCTGGGGAGGGGCAGAGGGAACAGCAGACTGATTCTGAGTCAAATGTGGTCAAGCTGGCAATGGGACCTATTTCAGTCATGAAGTTATTTTAGGTGGTAGCAAAGGAGGTTGGTTTTGAGGTTGCTTAATTATATTGTCTGCCCTGAAAAAACAAATTCATAAGCTGCAGAACATGAAATAAATGATTACAAGTCACTATGGCCAACCTGGTACATTCCCCTGAAAGCTCATAATCAAACAGGCTGCTGCACTAATGGTCTGCTGAACCGAAATGGTGCTGCCCAGGCTCTCCTGGGTGGACCTGAGAAAGGCATTAGCTGTGCATCTCTCCCATGTGAAACTTCTGAGTCCTTATGGACAGGGTTCAGCAAATACAGTTGTTTAATGCAGCTACATGTGCCCAACCAACATCAGCATGTTATTGCAATAGAATGTGTTACACTCCGTCATGCTGGCACTTTCCCCATCTGTTTACATTTAGAATGGGACTCACTGCCAAAGATTAGGAATCCCAGTGCCCACAATTCAGAAAACACAGGCCAAGGGGTAGAAATAAAAACAAATTGAAAACTACTTGTTACTAGCTGATTTAGTTGGATTCAGAAGAACTAGGAATTTTTTCTTAGTCCTCCAAAGAAGGACTTTAGTGGCAGGAAACCTGAATGGCCTTCACAAAGTCCCTCCCCAAAGATCCCACCTTAAATCTGGGCTAACTTCACCACCACTGCTGCAAACTCTTGAAGACAGGTAAAGACATGCTGCCTTTTTTCTTAGTTTTCTAGCTTAATAAATGGAAATCCGTTAAATAAATAAATGAGTTACAGTTTGATTTTGTAGTGGTTTCCAAATATGTTTCCAAGTTCTTTAACTTGCATTGAGAGATAAGGTCTACAACTCTTAAAAGTGGATGGATTTGTGATTGCTTCCAACATCCTATTTTAGTAGAAGTGACACTATATTATTCCAAAGTAAACTATAAAAGCCAGCCCATTTGGTAAACACTTGTTATCTTCTTTTATTTTTTTAATAATAGCCATCCTAAGTCTCATGATACTTTAGACTTACATTTCCTGAATAATGAATGACAATGAGCATTTTGTCATATACCTGTTAGCCATTTGTATGTACGTGGAGAAATTACTTGCGCCCTGGTAATGGGAACATAAAATTGTATATCCACTATGGAGAATGATATAGAGTTTCTTCATAAAATTTTTTTAAATAAAACTGGCATATGATCCATCAATCCCACTTCTTGATGTATATACGAAATAATTGTAATCAGGATCTCAAAGAGATATCTGCACTCCCAATATTCATTTTAGCATTATTCACAATAACTAAGATGTGGAAACAACCCAGGGTCCCTCTACAGAATGGATAAAGAAAATATGGGACACACACACACACACACACACACACACACAATGGAATATGATTCAGTCTTTGAGAAGAAAGAAATTTTTCCATTTATGACAATTCAGTTGAACCTAGAGGATGTTATGCTAATTGAAGTCAGCCAGTCAAGGAAGGACAAATACTTCATGGTTCCACTTATCTGAAGTATCTAATAGAATCAAACCCATAGAAGCAGAGAATATGATAGCAGTTTCCAGGAACTGGAGATGGGGGAAATGGGTATAAAGTTTCAGTTATTCTAGATGAATAAGTTTTGAGATCCGTTGCATAACATGGTACTTATAGTGAACAGTACGATATTGTATATTTCAAAAATTTGTGAAGAGGGTAGATCTCATGTTAAACATTTTTACAAAAGGGAGGGGGAGGCACAAGGAAACTGAGGGAGGCGCTAAGTACATTTATTGCCTTAACTGTAACAAAGGTATCACAGATATCCATGTGTGCTCAAACTCATCAGATTACACACATTAAATATGTGTAGTTTTTTTTTGTATAACCATTATACCTCAATAACTTTGTTAGAAAATCAGACAAAAAAGTAGTCTTATGATTTTTATAAATAAGTGTTTAAAAATCCATACAACTTTCATAGTTACTCTTGGGGCTCTGAGCAATAATGGAAGATGTCATCGGCCACCCTGAGATGGCCATCTTGGAGAAAACTTGAGCAATAAGGTATGACACACAGGGAGAGAGAGGCCCAATATGACCCTAGGCATTTGACACATCAGTGAAGAAACCTACAGGTAACTCCGACCCCTTTATGTAAGTGATCCTCAGCCTTTTGGTCTTCCCAACTGAAGCACCAGTCACTGTGGAGCAGTGATAAGCCATTCCCTCCATGCTCTGTCTGAACTGCTGAGCCACAGAATCCACCAGCTTATTTTATACCTGTATATGACAAAAGACAAATGTAACATTCTTCAAGTTTGAAAGCAATAGAACCTATGCTACCTATCCCAGTCTCATTAATAACAATCCCTATGCTCAGGAAATTGATCTTAAAATAACTTAAATTTCCTCTTCAATTGAAACCCATAACTTTTTTATTTACATCTGGAGACAAGGATAGCAGCTGGTTCCCACTCTCCCTTTATCAGAGACTTTGCATAGTTGAAGATATTAAGTAACTAGCTTTTCAGCCTTTTCTTCTTTGGGTCAAGTACTCTGAAATCTTTACAGATTCTTTAATCTCTAAAAGAGAATTTTGTATTTGTCACTCTCTAAAAACAGATGCCAACAGCTTTTGGAGAGACAAAAGACATGGTCACATAATAAGAGCTTTAGATCAAAATGACAACCCTTTCTGCATTAAAGGCACTTTATGGTATGCAAAGCATTTTCACCTGTATTATCTTTCGATCCCCATAACTACCCAATGACATGAATGAGTAACATACTTATTCATACTTATTAAAGTTAAGATGCTTTCTCAGGATCATACTTGCTAATGGTTGAGCTAACATTAGAAAACAAACCTCTTAGAATTGCAAGTATATGGACAAAGACAGAAAGAAAATTGAAATAAATAAGATCAGCTGATGTGTTTGATGGTGAATTATTTTCTCTTCAATGTTCCTTGATTATAATTTTGCTTCTTCAATAAACAAAATCAGAACTTCTTAAAGAAAAGAAATACTGGGTCTTTAGAAAGCATTTGGGCAGTGTTGAAATATTTTGAAATATGTAATTTTAAACATAAATAACTCAGATTGTAGGCACAACAGAAAACTGCACAGCAAATTTTCTTCTCACCGCTGTCATTGACTTTAATTTTTCGAGTTCTAGAAAATGGTAGAAAATCTGTTGTGGTATAGAAATAAAAATATATTTGAATAGCACTGTGTTGGCCTTAAACATGTGCATGCATTTGTACTTAAACACCAATTTAAGGCATTCTATGCATGAATCATGTAATTAGGTCCTAAAGATGCATTAGAATTTTATGGATACTATGTAACATCTTCATCAACAGGCCACCTGAAGACAAGTTTCACCTTTGTTCAATCCTATGGCAATAATAGCAAGTTAAGGTATAATGACCTATGAAGTAGGTATGAATTCACATTTATTCTCCATGTCAGACCTGGTGGGTATAACAAAAGCAAACAGCTAGACACAATGTATATTTCTATGTCCTAAAAGGAAGCAAGGGAGGACAGAGTTTTTTGATGAGCCTAAGAAACAAGTGATAGGATGGAGTATAAAGTGAATAAGATTGGCAGTTATTTCTACTTAAAGTAAAATGAAGCTACATTCTCAGGAGCATAACTGTCAATGGCCAAAATGAGACTAGAAGGCAAAGAGTAGAAAGGACGACTAAAGTCCATGCCACTAAGAAAGAGCAGAGATTCCCATTTGTTTACACAGCATTCCATAAAGAATGACCCATGGAAACCCACCTTTGAATCTCCAGTGCAGTAGAGAAGTCCAGAATTCACACGTTTAATTCTGAGGCACACTAAAATATGTGTGTTCATTCACACTGACTACTCAACAACTCAAAAAGTTACAAAATATAGGCAAGGTGGCACATGCCTATAATCCCAGCATGAGGCAGGATGATCAGGATCACAAGTTCTAGGCCAGCAATTTAGGGAGACACTGTCTCAAAATAAAGTAAAAAGAGCTGGGGATGTACCTCAGTGATAAAGTGCCTGCAGGTTAAATCCCCAATATATCGCCCCACCAAAAAAGAGGAGAGCTAGATACCAGGGTGCCATATTGAATCACAGAAACTTGTACAAACTTTAGACCCAATGGTTTTATACTGGTCTCTGAATCTCTCAGATTGATTTACAATGTGTCTGGGGCAATAAGTATATAGCCCATTTATATCAAAATCAAGCGGTATTCTAATTGGCAAAAACAACACATACCAATTCTTGTGAAGGCGACTGCCACCAGCTACCCTGCTGCAGTGGAAAGGATGTGGGCACAAACCATTCAGACTTGGGTGTGTCACTTGAGACCAGGCCAGCGCCATCAAAACACCATGCTTTCCTCCACCCTTTCCGACTGCCCCAAGACTGGCACAGGGTTTACTAAGACCGAAAGTAACACTTGCCTATCTAGGGACCAACAGTTTTTTCTAGAGGGGTAAGTGAGGTGCCAGACAGAGAGATGCCACCAGAGATAAATTTTAAAACCCCAAACCAGATACTTCAGTTGCCCAATGTGCTATGCATCTGACCCTTACCCTTATGCTCTGCCAGACCACACTGCAACAAGTGACAAGGGCACATTTACCATCAAGGCCTGATCATAAATCCTTGTAATCTTAATTTGTCATTCCAAAATACATGAAGAGTCAGGCATGGTGGTATACACCTATAGTCTCATCCACTAGGGAGGATGAGGCAGGAGGATTGCAAATTCAAGGCCAGTCTTAGCAACTTAACAAGACTGTTTCAAAAAAAAAAAAAAGTACTAGGGAAATAGCTTAAAACTCCTCTGAGTTCAATCCCCAGTACCAAATTTTTTTTAAAGTGCTTCCAAAATGCAAAGGTACTCTTCCTTAGCCACAAAGGCTTCTTTTGCTTAATGGTATTTTAGAAATAAATTGGCAATGAGAAATACCACATTGTTATGGAGCTATTGTCAGTTGGTTCCATCTATCAATTTATCAGTGTCATTTAGTAAGAAATAGCCTCCACTTTAGAGATGACTCTCCATACATAACAGGAAGGATTTGAGTGTTCCTCATCTGCCAGCATATTACATAATAGAACATGTCACCAGGTCTCAAATGAGGCAGCCAGCCTCAGTAGGTAGGTGACACTGAAGCCAATATGTGCTTAGACAAAAAAAAATGATTCAATGCCTTCAGAATGTGGGATGCAAAATGAGATTCTGTGGGAGTCAGGGGTCAATGGCAGAAGAGTGAAAGAGAGGGATCTGACAGCTCCCAGGCTCTTGGCAATCTGTTCTCAGTTATTGAATACTCGAGAGGGAACACTGAAGGATGAAACACCAATATCCCAAAGCACTTGATCATATTCACCATTTGGCCAGATTTTCTGTGTCTGTTTCCACTCCTTCCTTGAGCTGCAGAACAGACCTAATTAGCTGGTTTGATTATCACTTATCAACTTTCACTGGATAAACAGCAGTTAGGCAGTGGTAGGGATAGGAATGCTGTTTGTGAAGTCCCAGTTAACCCTCAAGCTGATCATCCCTAATGAATCAACAGCAAACAAAGGCTGATGATTTTTATTCAGGGTTCCAGCACAGAATGTAGGAACTCTGCGTTTTCTTTCTAACTCTGGCTCTAGGCTGAATGACCTAAAGCCATTCAGTTAACCTCGCTGTATCTCAGTCTTCTAAAAAATGAGGCTAATGGATCTGGCATACAGCAGAAAAGTACTGGGGAGGAATAATGACTAAAAATGACTATGAAACCCTTTGCAAATATCAAAGTGGTGATGAAGCAATAATGAGCTTTGACCAGAAGCCATGTGTTCCATGGGGGAGGTGCTTTAATTGCTCCTGTTCATTATTAAACTGATGTCTGAGAGTGGAAGAGGTGCTTTGGTGGTCTTAGGTTGTGGTGTGAGCTTTTGCAGATATGCAATACTGCCCTCTATCGGCACTCAACATATTAATAAGCCACAGAGGCTAGACTCATTTTCCTCATCTGCATGTCTTTGCACATCACACCGGAGACCCAGAGAGCTTGTGAGCAAGGGCCTGTGACCGGACCACTCAGCAGAGGGCTTTTGCTTCACAGAATGTGGTACGTGTCCATTAGAAAGCTGCTGAGTGGAAATCTTATTCCCTGGGATTTTAAACAGCCACATTTTCTAGTATTTGACATCAATGGGACATTTAGCAAATGGAGTGCCAGATGGAGCTCCTGGCTCTATTTTCTGTAAGACACTTGAGAGTTGGAACCCTCTGGATGTTTGTATTTGATAGGATTGCTCACCGTAGGGCTGGCCATGGCTCAATGGACATGGGGCATTCTGCAGGTCTCTGAGGTCAGGGAGCATTGGGACACACAGAACAAAGTGGCAGCTCTACCCACACAAAAGCTTTCCAAGCACCAGTATTCTTGGTGATTCACTTTAACATTCATTCCCTCACATTATCTGAATTTCTTACAAGCCACATGCAAGAAGGCAGATAACTGAAAAACACTGTCCCAAACATGGTTTTCCTTTTGGCCTATGGGCCTTTTGAGCCTCTAAATTAAGGCAGGACAGACCTTGGTGCCACCGTCTTGGAGATCAGAAAACTAAGGCTTGGAACAGCAAGGAACTGACTCATAGTTACACCGTATCATCACATAAATACAGGAAAGCCGTGAAATCGTAAGTTTTTTCTAGAACATTTAAGTGTGTCCCACCCTTTTCTATATGACTTAGAGGTAAATATATAAATCATTTTAGTTATTTGATGTTAACAATTCACTTTCATGTGGATCACAGAATTTAAGATTATAGTTCCTCAAAATTGGTTTATTACTTTCTGTATTTATGATGGCTCACAGTACATTTTAGAGATGACATTTTGAATTTTTGATATATTCAAAGTTGTCCTGCAATTATGCTGAAGATATCTGATTCTAATCTAGTCAATAAAATAATGATTCTGTGAGAAATAATATTTGAATTTTTCCTTCCCATCAAGTTGCCCATGTCTCTGGTATTCTGGCAGGTAGATGTCATGCTGCTTTATCAAATTGGTGTGAGATAGAGCGGACGTTGTTCTTTGTCTATGATCATATGAAAAGGCTATCTAAAATTCTAGTTTTGTGATTCACTGCTGAGGATTTTGACCTTATATGTACAATAACCAGAAAGTGTTTAGACCTCAAACTGCTGGTCCTTCTGTAGTTTGTGGCTGTTATTTTTACAGGTGTTTTCCTCAGTTCCTACCTTAACTAAGGTCAGGAGAGTTCATGGGAAATGAAACTGTGTTTCCTCTCTTTCCCTCCTCCCTGCACGGTTGACTTGAATTATAAGCCCACAGATGCGCTCTACCGATCAACAACTGAGTTGTTTACCACCACAACTAGGAGATGCAATGATTAACTGTTGTTTGCAGACTTCAGAAAAAAAAAGTTTTCTCATAAAGATATGGGGAGATGATCTGTGTAGCTGACACATTCTACCTTTGTCTTAAATTTACTAGTAATACAGCGGCACCTGCTTCCTAACTGAAATGATAAAACCAGTCTCAGGCTGCTGCTACCCAGGAATCTGCAGTATCTGCCCACTTTAATACGATTCCCCACATACCAAACAAACTAGACTACTCTTCTTTTTCTTTTTCAAAATAAAACATTTATCCTTTATGAGTCTTTCAATAAAAACCCATAAAGAATATTTGTTTTCTTTTCCAGTAAAGCTAATAATGATAATTACAAAACAAAATCTTTTCTGTTTATATTTATTAAGCTTCCTGTGGCTCCCTTTCATTGAGAGAAGCATTTGAGAACAGGTTCAACAAATCTTAGCTTCAGAGGAATTTTAGAAAGCATCTGTTCCAATCTTCCAACTAATACAGAAATCCATTCTTTTTCTAATATTTTCACTATCAAAAAGTTCCCTCTCTTTAAAAGGTTGTCAATCCCAACTCAAAGGGCTCTAAAAGAAGAATCAAAAGGAAAGGCCATTGTTTCACTGGACTTTGTGTCTTAGGGAGTGTTAATTTCAGATATGTTCACAAGTAAAAGAAGACTGAGCCTGCCATTCAAAATTAGGCCATTGCTATGAAATGATAGCCCCACAGACAGAAACTGAGAGATCTGATCAGCCTTGTCAATTGTGAAAAGAGAAGTCTTACATAAGGAGCCTTGGCCAGCCCCCAAGTAGAGCCTTTTACATGCTTGGTGATCATCTCCATAACAGTGGTGGAATGTGACATTTTGGTCAAACACAAGCACAGAATACCATGTAGCATATATCCAAATTAAGTGAATCACTAGCAAATAGGTCCTTAAAGTCTACAAAAACAAACCACAGGATAGTAACAGAAGAAAGTGACGACAGATGAGTTATAACATACAGCCAGCCAATTTCTGAACATGGTCTTTTGGCTGACTAGACTTGGACATGGGAAGAATTATGTTGCTCAATTTACAACTTATTAAAGAGAGAGAGAAGTCATTGATACAGATGGCTGGTTCTATATCAAGAAGACTATGAGATGTGATACTACTGAGCTTCTATTGAGCAAACTGTCAAGCAGTACTTAACTCACTTTTTTCCATACCTAATCATTAGAAAAGAATGAATTTTCAAAAGGTTAAAAAAAGACAATGTTCTTACTAAGCCGTGGCTTTGCTCACTTGTTATCTGCAAAAGCCTAGACATGCTGATAGAATCGGTTTCATTCCTTAGGCAAGGCAGTAATTACTTTTTCACATGGTGCTCATGCTCTGCAGTCAGTTGCCCACGACGTGCCGAATGGAATGCCTTTGTTGGGGGCAGGGGGAAAGGGTGGAACTGGAAGTTTATTATAAGTTTTATGCTGGTAGATGAAATCTTCCTCAAATATACCACAAAAATTACTTTGGGTTTACCAGAAGAAACACATGGTACCTACATAAAGCATGAATACTTTTAACAGTAAGCCCCAGGCTAGGGATTTAGTTCAGTGGTAGAGAATTTATCAAATACCTGCAAAGACTGGGTTTTATATTTTTAAAATATTTTAAAGTAAGTCCCAAAATAGGAACCAGAAGTGTCAAGCATCAGAAGAGTCATCTTGGCCTCAGTGCACTTCAAGTTTAACTTTTACAACACTGTGAACGAAAGTGTGTTCTCTATTACTTTTGGGTGGTGCAGTGGAAGAGCCAGTGGACTTGTGTTGTGGTCACTGTGTGGCTCTTAAGCAAGTGTGCCTGATTTTGGATAA